ATCAATTAAATTCAAGAATCGCTTGCCGATGCTGTTACGGACGTTGTAGCTATATAGTGGGTTGAACCAAAGAACATTACTGCGTGGCCTGTTTTTTTACCCTTCTCCGTGGGGGGGGGGGGCTCAAACTTTAATTGGGTGGTTGTAACCACTTTCGCGTAGAGCTCTTTGGTAGGGTGGTGCCGCGATGTCAAACATCTTTTTATCTGACGATATTGATGATAATCGCCTGTTAATCCCCGCCGGGATAATCTTTGTGATGGCGGGTCTTCTATATCTCCATTTCGTCTATGCTATGTTTATTTTTCATCTACGCTATGTTTACTTTTCATCTACGCTATGTCTACTTTTCATCCACGATATGTCTACTTTTCATTTGTGATATGTCTACCTTTCATTCACACTATGTCTACTTTTCACCTACGTTATGTCTACCTTTCGTCTACACTATGCCTACTTTTCATCTATGCTATGTCTACTTTTCATCTACATTATGTCTACTTTTCACCTACGCTGTCTACTTTTCATCTGTGCTATGTCTACCTTTCATTCACACTATGTCTACTTTTCACCTACGTTATGTCTACCTTTCATCTACACTATGTCTACTTTTCATCTACATTATGTCTACTTTTCATCTACACTATGTCTACCTTTTCATCTACACTATGTATACTTTTCATCTACGCTGTCTTCACTCCTACTACGCTATTTCTAGTTTTCATCTACATTATGTCTACTTTTCATCTACACTATGTCTACTTTTCATCTACGTTACGTCTACCTTTCATCTACGCTATGTCTACTTTTCATCTATGCTATGTCTACTTTTCATCTACGCTATGTCTACTTTTCATCTACGTTATGTCTACCTTTCATCTACACTATGTCTACTTTTCATCTACGCTAGTTCTACTTTTCATCTACATTATGTCTACTTTTCATCTATGCTATGTCTACTTTTCATCTATGCTATGTCTACTTTTCATGTACACTATGTCTACTTTTCATCTACGTTATGTCTACCTTTCATCTACACTATGTCTACTTTTCATCTACGCTAGTTCTACTTTTCATCTACATTATGTCTACTTTTCATATATGCTATGTCTACTTTTCATCTATGCTATGTCTACTTTTCATCTACGCTAGTTCTATAGCAATAAAGGTTCATCAATTTGTCTACTCAATGTGTTTAAATGAAAATTGTTATGATGCTGGATTATAATATTAATTTAACCTCATTCCAATGACATGTATTCGACGTTGCTATACTTGATATTTGACGTTGGTCCTATTTAATATTTTTGTAATGTTCAATCAATGTTGAAATATTATCTTGTTTCAACAAATCTTTTTCCACTGGATATGATAGTGTGACACTTACTCGCTACTGTTACAGCTACCCACTTAGTTACAGAGCCGTAAATACCCTGTGCAACTAAAAAAGGGCACTTGGTAAAACTGTGATTACTAACATGTTCATTCATCCAAAGATCACTTTGAAACACATAGGCTTTAATGTATAATATATATATATATAATTGGTGCAGCTATGAACATCAATTTGAAAAAAAATGTATTATTATTCCATTTATAACGCTGTCACATCACTTAATTTTTGGTCTACATTTTGTCTATTCTTTTGTCTACATTGCATCTATTCGTCGTTTACTTTTCGCCTATTCGTTGTCTACATTTTGCCTATTCCTACATGTTGTTTATTCGGCACCTGTATTGCGTCTACCCTTCATCTAGATTTCGTCTGTAGATCTAAAACGAATATCTATATTAGACGAAAAATTAGATATAAATGTTTGGTAAGGATTTCAGTGCATGTTGTAATTCCATTTCCATGGATTTTGCAGTTGTTTGTTAAAATTTTACATTTGTGATCATGTGACAATCTACAAAATATATTCACTTAAAAATTATACACACCATGTACAGGCAAGTCTTTAGATTTCGTTAACAATTTTGTTTCATCGGGTAATCTTACATCGGTTGTTAGACCAGGCATACCTGTCACGGGAAATGCTGTAAAAACAGACAGTGTTTTACGCTTGAGCATTACCAAGCACAGTTTATTTTTTTTATGTATTATTGATAGTATAATAATTCTTACATCATCTTTCGTAAAGTTCAATGTTTAACTTACCACATGGACAGAGAAATCGGACTTCATAATCCATACATTGTTTTGAAAGCTGATAATAATTGAAGCACAGAAATCCTATATGTGGTTCGCAAACTATTTTCCTCTGTGCATGGCCTTCGTCATAGAAGTGATGAGAGCCTACAACTCTGCACTGAATATCAGTTGGGTCCTCACAAACCCCATAAGGTTCTATCATCTCCCCGAGCAGTTCATAATCGCCACGCAAACCAATGGTATCTGGGTTACTCATATCTATCCACTGTGTCCACTCATTTCCTTTGCAGAGAACGACTTTGTCCTCAGCTGGTGGTATCACGTTTTGATCAGCTGAAACATATATATAATATGTTTTATAATGCTATATTTGATTCAGTATGATGACACTTATACGTATATGTACATGTACAATTGTGAGATGCAATATCCATTAAATATTTATATAAAAGTTGTATGGGTAGAGCTACGCGTCCAAAGACACAATACAACACAAAGCAAATGAATGACAACAATTGACAAAAAATCTACAAGAATAAACAAAATTGAAGAGCATACTAAACAAATCAGTACGGCGAACACTCATCGATACATACATACGGACGTATTAAATACATGTGCTAATTGATGCCATCTGAAATCATCTTCGTAACAATGTTATTGTATTTACTTATACGCTCGTTATATTTTTTCCATTCTTAATTCCAAGTATATTTACTATTGTATAGTTTTGACCTGCCTTCTAAAAATTGAAAACTAACTATTTGTGGTGTTGATTGATATTTATCTATAAAACTCTATGTATTCTACTGTAATTACAAATGATATATAGTTGGTGTATTGTAAGGAAATTATTATAAAAACGATTACATACGACATGGACAGTAGAAGCGAACTTCGTAATCTATGCATTGACGGTTTTTCTGGTCCTTATTGAAACACAGTAGACCTATATCAGGGTGGCATGTGACTTTCACTTGTCCTTCTATTTCATTATAATAATGTTTAGAACCAACTTCCCTGCACTCTATATAAGTTGGCTCATTACAGATGAAATGGAACTCCATAGCTTTTGATAATAGTTCCTGGTCTCCCCCGGTAAATTTCGAACCTGGATCATTCATATCAATCCAATCCGTCCAACCTCCATAAGGGCAAAATTGTAGCATTGACTGATCAGTTATTCCATGTACTGAAAAAAATGAGTTTTTTGTAAGACAAAGCGAATTGACTGTTTTGTTAAATGTTGCTTAGGATAATTGTCAATGGAAAAAAGTCCATATTATAATTATTATCTAAAATGGTTTTCAATGACTTTTCTTTCAGTAACTAAACAAATTACGCGCTATTTACCTTTTATAATGTAATGGCGATAACACAGATATTTAATAATCCTTGTTTTTTTTAATATTTTTGATGGCATAGACAATGTGTGATTTTTTAACTGATCGCTGACACTATGTGCAAAGAATTGTGGCTTTATTATTCTCGGGTTTATGCTTGTTTTCAGATACTGCTCAATGTTGTATGGTAAACACGATATCATGTCGTGTCTGGCAAGATGTACAATAATAACATTATTTCAGTGATTCCATTTAGGTCTAATAATATTTATTACTAAACAACTCCTGGATTATTAACTATTTTTTTCAGTTGAATTCAGGCAAATTTGTCACACTGAACGAGGGTTATTTAAAATGAGCCAGATTACAGTCCCAAAAGAGAGACTCATGTTCTGAAATCTGACAGGCAATATACAGTTTGAAATTTTCTAGAATCGTTCTCCGTGTTTTATCATTGTCTATACTGTGTACTTTTGCTGACTGATTTTATTAGTTTTCACTTTGTCATTGGTCTGGGCGAATTGGCACATTTTGCTAGTGTGTATCAAAAGGCCAGGCTTAGGGCAGTGTTGTCCAATTCAGTCCTGTAATAATTTCAAAGAAAATATTTTTCTTTATGATCGTATACTGCGACTACTTATTTTTGCGCACGCATCACACTATCAATTCTGATATAATTGAGCTGTGCAGTTCTTGTGCTGCCTTAATTGGAACATGTTAATTTGGTTATATCAGTTTCTCCACTGTATGCGCTATGACATTATTTGTTTATTAGAGTTAGCTGTCTAACATAGATATTCATATCAATATGATGTTATTGGATTGATGACACTGAGAATATGTTTAGCGACCTCTTGCAGTGGATCGTGTTATAAAAGGTAAAGTATGTAGCATAGTACTGCCAACGGATGTTTTCTGTTCTGGCTGTGTATTAGTAGTGTCTATGTCAGTAAAAAATGAAAAAATAAGTTGATTTGATCTGTTCTTTATACACAAAAAAATAAAGTTTGATTAAGTTTGAATCGATACAGTAAAAAATCTAGTTATTTGCAGTGGCTAACATAGACAGATACAAATTGTATTATTTAATTATTGACATAGTTCTAACCTGAAACAGTTGTTGATTTACTTATCATAGTTTTGTATCAAGCTCAACGGAGGTCACTTCAGTTGAAACAGAGCTATATTCTACAAATGCAAAAACAAAAAGCAAACGAGTTGTTAAAAAAGAAGAATTGGTAAAAAAAATAGAAAAATATTTTTTGCGCCAACACTTATAACAACTAACTTGATGTAGTAGATTCTTCAGTTACCAATGGTGTTGCTCTAATAAACTTCTTAGTTGTTGAATCGCTTTCACCTGAGTAAAAACAATACTCATTTATTTATAAGGTTTAATCATCAACCTTAGTAGTCGCATATAAATTCTATACTTTCTACAACAAAGCATGAATTGTTGTTAATATTTGTATGAAAAACAGTAGAATTTGCTATGTGATTGTTGTACCTATAGAAACGACATATGCCTTTTGAAAGCGGGGAGTCGAAAAAAGTGGAGAGTCGAGCGATACAAAATTAATTGAATAGTTTAGGTTACAAGTTGGTGTGGACGAAGCACAACTCATGGACGTATGAATGTTTGCTGTGCAC